AAGAATAGGAAAACGTACATTGGCTCCATCTTTCCAGAAGCAGAAGCCGAAATCTTGACAATTTTTTTTTTAAGTTTTTATATTTCAGTTAGTTAACGTACAGTGTAATATTCGTTTCAGGGGTAGAATGGAATGATTCATCACTTCTATACAACACCCGGTGCCCATCACAGGTGCCCTCCTTCATCCCCATCACCCATTTCACCCATCCCTGTGCCCACCTCCCTCAGCAACCCTCAGTGTGTTCTCTAGGGTGAAGAGTCTGTTTTATGGTTTGCCTCTCTTTTTCCCATGGTCATCTGTTTTCTTAAACTCCACATATGAGTGAAATCGCATGGTATGTCTTTCTTTGATTTATGAAATCTTGATATTTTTAAGAAATAATTTTTCCCGACAAGTAACCCTGGGAAATAGGATAGTGCTCTTCTAGTGCAGTGGTTACAAACTGGAGGCCTATTGCTCAAACAGGCAGTAGGAGCATGTTTTTTAAATTGTTTTTAAGGGGACACGCTGCTCTCCATTGCCCCCTCTCATGTCTGCCTAGCTTGTAGACATTTGCATTTGCAAACTGATTTAATAAATAGATCATGAGGCCAAGTTACCAACAATGGATTATGGCCATGGATTCTGAAAGATCATGTTTGAGCTTCCTTTTTCATAGACTAGCACTCAATTTAAGAAACATTAACTAAAACCTAGCTCAAGCATAATGAAGCCTTTCCCATACATTGCATCTTACTTCCTGCCAAAGCCCTTCTGGAAATTTTTGTTTAGGATCCAGAATTTACTCACCATACTAACTTGTTAAATGATTACACTTAGTAAAGGACCTCTCCATTTTCTCTTTTTTCTTTCAAATGTCTAAAGAAGAGATCTAGCTACTGTGCGTACGTGGACAAGGGGAGGAGAAACAGAGGTGGTGATAGTGACGATGATGTCACTTCCACTAACGACTCCTAAAAAGTCTCATTACATTTGTAATCGTATTACTTCATCTAATCTGTGGAACATTACATTCAGATCCTGTTCTTAAAACCTTTGATAAATTTGAGGGTGCCTGGGTGGCTCAGGCGGTTAAGCATCTGCCTTCGGCTCAGGTCATGATCCCAGGGTCCTGGGATCGAGTCCCGCATCGGGCTCCCTGCTCCTTGGGAGCCTGCTTCTC